ACAAAGTGTTGGATAGTTCCAATTGATTGTCCCATTGATGTTGGTTGAAACCACATACTCGGACTCTGTCCATTTGAGGTTTAGATAATTTGATTTTGAAGATTTTACATTCTGCAAATATTTTTGCTAGTTTAAGGAATGGTATTTTTAGGGTGTGGTTTCTTATTTTAAGTCTTTCTGGTAAATGTATCAGGTGTGGCTTTGTTGTGTTGACTCTGAAATAATCCATTGTTTTGGCAGTGATTTAGATTACTCCTTATTTTGGTAGCTAGATAAAGATATTTGTATATGATATTGTATATACTACTGTATATGCAGACATAGACTTGCACCAGCTGTGGAATGGTAGGACATTCACAGTTCCTCTTACAGCACAGAACACTTCCTTTGACAATCCAGACTCTGGGGTTGCAGCACTCAACTCGCTTTACTGGCCGAGGGAGCCAACGTTTGTCCGCAGACAGTTTTTCCGGGTCATGTGGCTAGCATGACTACGCCGCTTGTGGCAAAACCAGAGCAGCGCATGGAAATGCCATTTACCTTCCCTCCAGAGCGGTACCTATTTATCTACTTGCACTTTGATGTGCTTTCAAACTGCTAGGTTGGCAGGAGCTGGGACTGAGCAACGGGAGCTCCCCCTGTCACAGGGATTCAAACTGCCGACCTTCTGATCTGCAAGCCCAAGAGGCTCAGTGGTTTAGACCGCAGCACCACCCATGTCCCCAATAGGACTGTTAGGCTCTGTCTATTCATGCATCTGCTCAAGCGAATTCTCAGTGCTGATTTTCAGATATGCAAATTCAATAGACATGGAACAAGATGTTGAATGGTTGGCGTCCTTGTCTTCTGAAAAGATTGAGAATAAGCTTGTTTTCCTCACTAACCACATTACCCACAAGCGCCGCAGTCAAAAGGCCTTCATTGGTTTTTGCATCAATCACTAAGTGTGTCGCATTTTAAAATATAGGTAGCTTTGCTGAAGCCTCAATGTATGGAAAAATATTGCACCATTCATATATACACTCAGGACTGAGGTGAGATTTGAACCTGGGAATTTAACAGCTCATTCTCTTAGCCATTACACAACACTGTAGCATGTGGCTTGACAGTCAAACACACCTAACCACGATAACTTCAACCGAAAAACAAACAAAACCCACACACCTCCATCTGGAAGAGCCCTAAAAAATAAAATAAAAATCTGAATATTCAGGCTGCATACACACTATACCTTTAAAGCACATTCTTTCCCATAAAGAATTCTGGGCCTGTAGTTTACTCCTCACAGGGTTACAATTCTCAGTAACCCTTAACAAACTACAGTTCCCAGAATCCTTTGAGGGGAAGAAATACCCTTTGAATGTGCTTTATGGGTATAGTGCATATGCTGTCTCATGTGGTTTTAAATTTTCTTCCTGGAACAGCTGAAGCCCAGGTCAAATGACTCAAGTTCTACTAACTCAGCATGAGTAAATCCGGGAAGCCATTTACAGTGCTCACCTGGTTCCACTGCTTCTTGGCCAATTGTTATGAGACTGTCATTGTCACATAAACGATGCACCCAGAGAAGCTCTATGTAAACAGTTTTCTAGTTTTTCCGAGAAGAGTATGCACTCTTAGTCCAATAGTCTACAAATTTTCCTCTCGATGTCTCTGTGTTCAGAGAGAAATGTGTGTCTGTGGTTTCTGTAAGGATTTTGGGGAAATTCAGTTCAGATCATGTTTACAGGTAAACCTACCTAACCTGCACTTTCTGAAACTATCTGTGAACCGAAACACAGCCAAGCACCCAAATTTGCCCTTCTCTGAATTTTGCAATGCAGTTATCCAGCCAAGTAATGTGTACAAAAATGCATGTACCGGGATAAAGTCTGCATAAAAATGCATACAGTCGTACCTTGGAAGCCGAATGCCTTGGCACTCGTACGTTTTGGCTCCCGAGTGCCACAAACCCTGAAGTGAGTGTTCCAGTTTGCGAACATTCTTTGGGAGCCGAACGTCCGGCACGGCTTCTGCAGCTTCCCATTGCATGCAGGAAGCTCCTGCAGCTAATTGGAAGCCGTGCCTTGGTTGCTGAACGTTTTGGAAGCCAAACAGACTTCTGGAACGGATTCCGTTCAGCTTCCAAGGTATGACTGTATATTGGTGAAAATAACATTGCACTGAATGCATTACATTCAGAAACATTGCTTTGCAAAAATGTGCACATTAGGCAACACTGCACACAAGCATACATATATCAGGAGAAATCAGCTGATGAATTTTCATGAGGACTTTTTAAAACAACAACAACACACAAACAGATGTGGAAATGTGGAGAACTGAACTGAAAACTGGAAAAATACTGAGAGAACTTAAAATGGACAGATTTGCCCACATCTAGGTTTCAGTTGCCAACATAGTCACTCTTCTTCCAGGGCAGGCAGCTCAAAACTGAGAGTTCTGGTCCATGCTACAGAGATATTTCGTCAGAGAAGATTTGTCACCATAGGTGAACCAAGTTGCTGTAGAAGAGGAACGAGCTGCTGTGGTTCCTAAACAGTTCATGCACTTCAATTCATAAAGGAAGACTATCAATTCTTTACCAAGTAAGATTTCTTCTCCATTATTGCTCTCAGACCCTCAGCAAGTCTGCTCTTAACAGTGTTGAATTGTTGTCATTCTTATTCACCCCCTTCACCCCAAGGTCAGAGGGCAGGTTACACAAATTAAAATACAATGTTAGAAACAGTTTAAAACAATTTACATTCACAGCGATTGCTGTTTGCTCTGCCTTTGCTGATCTCAACTGGGAGATTTTTTATCTTAAATTCAACGTATTTTATGTGTGCTTTATATAAATTGCTCTTATGATAATTGTTTTAAAATGTATTTATGCTACTTTGGTTACATTGTAATGCACCATTACATTACAGGCCATTCCCCTGGAAAAGTACAGTAGAAATATAAAATAAATAAACGGAGGAGGCAGAAAAATGTAGAGCAAATGAAGAAGACTAGTGAATCTTACTTTATTTTCATTTATTTATTGGTGAGATTGCTTCACCAGTAACTGTCCAGTTCCTTACCATCACCACCAGTCTTCCAGCTTGTTCTGTTGTATGAGTTTTATCAGACTCATCAGTACTTTTCTGCCACAACCGTGCCTAATTTGGGCAACTGCTCTGGGACTCAGGGACAGCACACATAGGAAATGTGTAGCTTGTCAGGGAGACACCATTTACACAATTCAATTCACAAATTATCTGAGGGAGAGAGGTTTTATTTGGAAGTCATACTCATTTAACTTGTGTGAAAAGTTTTTTTAGCCATAAACACATTAATCATCATGGGATATTTTAATGTCAGGCTGCAAATTAGGCTCCGCCTCCCGTTCCCAATAACAGTGAGCTGGCCAGTCGCATGTAGTTATCTAGTCACATGCACCAACAAACACCTGAATTTAATGCATACGCTTGAGGCAGATACAAAACTTTGCCTTTGCATGCCCAATTTGGAAGAACTGGTTCTCTCTGTGTGTGTGTCCCCCACCTCACATATGCCCTAAGCCACATAGTGTTTAATCACTCAACAGTGAACTAATACAGATATATTTATACTTTGTGTGATTTCAGTGCTCATGAAAACTGCACCAGTGCATTTCCTGTGCCATGAATCACCAGCCTGCCGTTTTCCTACACTACAGATCTCCAGTCAAAATAATCCCTTTACTCATCCCAAGTAAGTGGACGCAGCCCAGTCACGGGTGGCAAACATTTATTTTTCCTTGTAATGAAAGGAAGTGAGTAGTTCTACCTGCATTCACCTGCTTGAATGTAGAAGCAGTTTCTGGAAACTGTTTTCTCTTTAATAAAAGTCACAGAATATGAGCACATGATTTTTAAGAGGAAGTCGTTTCTATAAAAGGGCTAGTTTGCTTTTTGCTGAACTGGATTTAACATGATAAAAAAAGGAGTCACTTTATTTGCTGTGCTTAGTCTCATTTGAGCGCAACCTTTCTGTTACATGCAAATACATATATTTAAAAGCCAACAGCTAGTTCTTGTGGTAAAAAAAGTTGTTGTTTTTTTGTTAAATATTTTTTATTAATTCCCAACTACTAAAATCCAATAACAGCCACATTATCAGTATCAAATTACCATTCATATCCAAATATATATCAATTATAAAGCCAATTATTCAATTTGTGTCACTTCCCGTGTGTTGGGTTTTGGTGTGCAAAGTTCTTATTTCTTCCTGCTTCCAAAATCTTGATTAATCCAATTACATTCAGTCCTGATCCTAGTCCTTTATCTACAGAGTTCTTGACTTTCATTCATATTTTTTTTGGTAAAAAGCAGTTCAGGAATGTGAATCAGCTTCTAGAAAAAGGGGTTCTTTAACCATTATCCCTCATTGTTTCTCATTTTCTGCTGCAAACCTTATCCCTATTTATTTCCCCCCTCTTGTTGGGTTCCTGAGGAGCATTCACCCTAAATAGACACAATCTCTTTCCTTGTTCCTTGTAAGAAGGCAAATGTGATTACAGGAAAGGAAAAAGGTTTAAGAGTCAGTGTGCGAGTTCATTGCGGGTGCTTATAACAACGCCCCAAGAATACGAGAAAAGCAGCTTGGGAGAGGACAATCTTCAGCCTAAGAACAGCAGTTGCAAGGGGATTGCTTAATTTTTCCCATACAGTCTTTCCCCAATTCCAGGGGATAAACTGATGAGGTACAATGTGGAACTAGTGAGTAAATGTGGATGAACCCCAAATCATCTCTGAAGCTGTTCTCCCTGATGGAGGTCCATATATTTGTTAACCCTTTTATGTTTACTTTATTCTCTGCTCAAAATCCATACAGACGCACATCACACACACACAGTTGCTTGTTTTAAAAAAAAGGCTTGTAGTTTTCCAGCTAGAACAGGGGCAGGAAACCTTTGGCCCTCTGGAGCCTGAATAGCTCAGTTGGTTAGACTGTGGTGCTGATGATGCCAGGGTCACAGGTTTGATCCCCCTTTGGATGTTGTTGGACTGCAGCTCCCATCAGCCTTCACTTCAGGCCATGCTGCCATGTGCAGGTGGGCAATGCAGTTCAGTAGCACCTGGAGGGCCAAGGCCTTAGAAGATGAATACAAAAGCTATTAAAATATAAAGGGGAGCTGAGAAAGGAGGGACGAAGATGAAGGCATTGCTTTATAAAGGGAGAAAGAAAGGGCTTATCTTGGTCCAAGGTGAGTGTGTACTAGGTAGAACAGTATGCTGGAGGCAAAGAGCTTTCCCATGGTATTGCACCAAAATTTCAAGCACTCAAAGGTCTTTGCAATCCTTGTTTCTTTCTCCATATGTTGCCATTTTACAACTGTAGGCTGAGTGATAAGGACATGTCCAAACTTCGCTGGCTTCAGCTCTGGCACATTTGCCCATTTACATTTGTTCCCATTACTCCCTGCAGTGAAAGAAAGCAGCTTCACTTTGCAAGTACAACAGTGCTGGTGGTGTGGGCAAAGGAAAAGGTGAGCTGTTTTAATCTGGCCTGACCTTTGTGTAATTTCATTGGAGAGTTCTTTGTACAGAATTGCTTAGTGTTGCATGTGCAGCAGACTCACCCTAGCACATGGCACACTTCCTTTCTTGTTTTGTTTGCCTGGAATCCTTTCTCCACCTGGAAAACTGTGTCTCTGTGTCACCTTCCTCTTCATGGAACTGCATTACCACCTGTTTATAAGCTCCTCCCCTGTGCACTCAGAGTATGAGTTTGGCCACTCGTACCCAGACGACAGGTCCCTCCCAGCAATCACGGTGTGATGGTGTGGATTCCCAGCACCCAGACCTCAGGCTTCTTCCCAGCCATGCTCAGAGAGAGAGCCTGATTCCCAGCAACCAGGTAGCAGGCTCCCTCCTTCGCACAGCTTGGTGAGTTTGCATGTTTTCCTCTTTGCTTGTCAGCCTTTTTGTTCCTCCCTTGCTTAAAATCATCTTCTTGTTCAGACACATACATCTTTCCTTTCTGTGCTTCTGCATCTTGGGCAAAAGGTGGTACCTGCTCTGCTGTGTCCTTTTTCCCCTCAGGCAGCTTTATATTGTGAAACAAAATTCCCATGTGAAGCGGGAAGAGTGGGAAGAACCTTGTTTCAAAGAACCTTACTACTTGAAACAAGAAGTGGATTACAAATAAATAAACACATTTATATTTACCTTTACATATCATTTCCATAGACTGCTTGACACTTTACAATTTGAGTACTGAATTTCAGCTCAGTGTAGCTGTAGGCATAAAGGTAACATTGCCAGGAATTTTTGTTTTGTTTTGTTTTGTTGTAGCTGGGGTGCTCTGTCTGGGAACTGGAATGATAACAGGCAAGCATTCTTGATCAGTATAATAACTCCCCTCTCAAAATTCCTATATACCCATTTGGAAACAAGTGTGAGTTTAAAAAATGGAATTGTTTGGTATGAAAATATTAAAGTTTAATGTTTTCTTTACTCTCTCACTGCCCCCCTCCAAAAATCCAGCTTTAGAAATAGGTGTGGCACTTCTGTGTTATCATTGTGTTACTTGGGACACAGATCCAAAGGCGCCCATAACTTGTATACTGAAGATTGGGGGGGGAGGTTAGGGAGCTGGAGACACAAGGGAGTTTGTTTGTGCCCTCAGGTTGTTGGGAAGCTTTTCAGCACCCCCTAAAAGTTCAATGTAGTTAATTTCCAGGAAACTGGACCATCTTCACATAAGCAGATAAAATAACAACGGAGTTCATAATGTTACAATTATCAAGCTTTACAAGGGAGTGGTTACAATGGCAGCATGCAATGGATACTGTTAGATGTGGTAGTAGCACATATTTTTAATGAGATGCTGGTGGAAATTAAGTTGATGTAGCTAGCAGTTCCATGGGCTCCCTTGGGACTGGGCAAATCCCATTCACTCTCTATGACAGGCTTCCTCAACCTCAGCCCTCCAGATGTTTTGAGACTTACAATTCCCATCATTCCTGACCACTAGTCCTGCTAGCTAGGGATCATGGGAGTTGTAGGCCAAAAACATCTGGAGCAGTGGCGTAGCGTGGGGGGTGCAGGGGGGCCGGCCGCACCGGGAGCAACATCTGGGGTTAGGGCAAATCCACGGGTTAGGGGGCGCAAATTACTTGCCTTGCCCCGGGTGCTGACAACCCACGCTACGCCACTGATCTGGAGGGCCGAGGTTGAGGAAGCCTGCTCTATGGTCTTCTTGTTACAGAAGTCTGTAACATTTTCTCTGTGCCCTGTAAAGAGCAGGTACACACAGTTAAGAACATTCACAATTTACATGTGGCTTAAACAAAGTAGCAAATAACAAGCAGTATTTATGAAGAGTTATGATCAATTTTATGTTAAAAATCCACACACTGATGATACCAAGAGTATGACGTGATCTTGGGGCTTGAACACAAAGGTACTCAGGTGAGCATATGGCACCTGCAATGTTGTTGAACTCAGTAAAAACAAAAACCCATTTTCAACACTATGCACCCAGTCCAACCCTAACATGACAAACACGCATCCCAAGGAATGTGGGGTGCCTAATATTTAGAATAGCAGAAGTTGGGAATGGAGGCTGACAAATTAGAATGTGTAACAGAATGGCCGTTTCAAAAGAACTGCTGCCAGAAACCTTCAACCCCCCTCCCAACAGTGGCATGGCTAGCTGCTCCAGCACCCAGAGCGGCAGGGGCGGGGCAATACGCGCACAGGGGTGGCACGGCGAGCTACCCATGGAGTCTACCTGGTGGATGTAAGCCCCACACTGCCATTTTGGGCAGCGCGGGATCCCGAGCCACTGTATCACTCCCAGGAGAGACGCGTGGCTTGGGCGCACTGCAGGCCAGGCCCCGTGGTAAGTGCCACCCCCCGCGGTGTCCATTCCACTTCCAAAGTGTTTGAAAACCAAAGCGCAGCTACTGATTGGAAGCTCCTGCAGCCAATCGGAAGCCGCAGAAGCTTCTGGGTTTTGATCGTTCTTTCGGGAGCCAAAACGTTCGAGAACTAGGCTGTTCAAAAACCAAGGCACGACCATATTCTTAACAAGATAAGTTTTCAATTGTTTCCTAAAAGCAAAAATGCTAGTTCCTTGTCTGAGTTCAACTGGAAGCTGATTTCATAGAGTTGGAGCTATAATACTAAAGATCCATTTTCTTTTTGATATCAGCTATACCTTCAGGCTATACAGAACACTTAGCAATTCCCCATAAAAGGGATGAAATTGCGACTCAGAGGTCTATGGGGCAAGGCTCCAATTGGCTAATTAGATCAGTTCTCTTTAAAATGTGGACCAAATACATTTCTCCTCCCGTGAACTGGCTATCACTGGCCAAGACTATTTCAGTGTATTGAGAATGTCCTTAGCCTGCAGCCATACATCTGGAATAAGCCCCACCCTCTATAATCTGGGAATGCTGCTAACAAGAGTGCCTAGACATACAGCACCTACTTACTGGAATCAATTTGTGTGTGTTTTCTGCTTGGAGTGAGTTCAGATGCCATCTAACTTTCCAAGTGATGAATATATTCCAAACTCAGTGCTGATTTCCTCTTTCCCCTTCACAATAGAGATATGGAAACACATTCCATGTCCATCCCTTAACATTTAAATCAGGAAATTGTATGTGACAGAGTTACTCTGTGTTTCCATAACTATAAGCACATTAAGACCTGCTGTCAGCTAGCTCATAGCTTTCCCCACAATAAAGCCACACTGAATTACAAACAGTACCTGCTTTCACAATTTAGGACATGTTTTGTTGGCGACCATGTAGTTTTCTTAAAAAATAATAATTCTGAAACTATACTAAAGCATGCCACTGTCAGTTGTTTGATACCCTAGCATTGTATAAATGAGTGATTGGACTCATTAGTTGAAAAAGATTCATCGCATAACTTGTAAAAAAAGGTAAAGGACCCTTGGACAGCTAAGTCCAGTCAAAGGCAACTATGAGGTTGCGGCGCTCATCTCGCTTTCAGGCCGAGGAAGCTGGCGTTTGTCCACAGACAGCTTTCCGGGTCATGTGGCCAGCATGACTAAACTGCTTCTGGCGCAACTTGTATTATATCCCTGTTAACCTAAATCAGAGCAACATGGGAAATTGGTTTATACCAAGCCATTTTTAATAAACAGCTTAGAGGCAGGGCCAGTCCTACCATTAGGCAGAGTGCGACAGCTGCCTCAGGCAGCAGTTCCCAGACCATTCCCCCCTCTGAAGAGGCTGGTCCTTTAGAGGAAATCTGGCACTGCCGCAACAACCCCAACCCACAACCAGCCCTCTTTTCCTAGCTTCTTACTTACAAGCAGTCAGAGGGTGGCCATGCCTGTGGTGGGCTCTGGCTTCATCTTCTACTGTTGGGCTCCCTGTCTTCTACCTTACCAGTGCTAACGGGCACCAGTCTCCATGGTTCTTCCTGAGTCCCCTAAGCTAAACTGCTGTGCATTTCAAAACCTAGCCTATGGTGAAGGATACTGCCCCTTTGCTAGTGTTGAAGTAAAGTTCAATTGGCCGTCCTGTCAGAATCTGGAGGCGCCATCTTGGATTTTGTCTCAGACATCAAAACAGCTTGGGCCATCCCTCCTTAGAGGTTTTATTAGAAATAAATAGAAATAAGTCACACCACTGGGCCACCTAGCTCAGTACTGGCACCAACCAGCAGCAGCTCTCCAAAGTTTTAGGCAAGAGTCTTTTTCGTTCATACCTGCAGATGCCAGTAATTGAACCTGAGACTTTCTGCACACAAATCTTGTGCTGGATCCACCCAGACATGCCTCCCCTCCAAAAACCAATCTGTCAGAACAATTTATCTTAAAAAAAAATGACTTATTTCTTAATGCTCATGTGATAAAGAGACATTGTTAAAGGGATTTCACAATTGCAACAGGGTGAGATTTCATTCTTCAAGCTACAATAACTTGAATCAGCACTCTTTCCACGTGACGGAGATTTCCCAGTGTAAAGGTCACTATATGGAACATTCTGTTATATGCAGTTTCATTATTGCCATTTTACAGTTTCAAATATGCAGCCATGTAGGCTGCAGTTTGAATCAGAAGAGTAGCATGAAGGGAGATGAGCTTCTTAACCCTTTGTCCTGGAAATTTCTGCCAAAGATTACCCCAAAATGCATTCCCCCCCCCCCGATTAGGGGAAATGGGCCAGTTTTCAGTAAGAAAACAGCAAGGTGGCTGAGAAGGCCCTCTCTCTGTGCCAATTTTTGTCTTAAAACTGGAGCCACAGTGCTTGCCTTGTTTAAGAAGAGATAAAAGCATAGCCCCGTGTGGAATATTTTCTTCTAGTATCTGTCAAGATAAGGAGGCCAGAAGCTGGACCTTCTCCCAAGAAAACCCACACCAAAAATAGAAAACATACAAAACTTTGTTTGGGCTGATTACACACAAACTAAAATAAAACATCAACTAGGGTTAGGGCTTTGGAGCAAGATGCAAGACACACAGGCACAAAACTGTTACTCAGCTGATCCCCACCCCATGGAGGGGGCCGGAAGGTTTTATCATAGATCACCCTGTGACTTCTTGTCTGGTGTTGATCTCCTGACCTACAGGTGAAACTCAAGAGTCCAGCTACGTGCCAAAAGCATGAGGAGAGAGCTAAGAAGAGTTGCTCTCAAGATAAGACCAAGGCCACAACCATCTCCAGCTTCCTTAACCAGTTAAGCACCAAACTTTGACAATATCCATAGTAAAAAATGGCAATGCCCCTCTGAAGAGGAAAGAAAGTGTACTGCAACCACAATTTAATGAAGGTTATCTGTCCTGTAGGGGGTCTCTCTGTTGTGTTCCTTGGCAGTTTAATCTATTGATTTGTGGAGCAGGCAGTGCCTTATATGTCCTACCTCTCATTATTAACAACAGCACCCAAATCCCATCCTCTTTCTTCTGTGCACACACAGAGATTGTCAAAGGCTTGAGACCACACAATACATGGCATAGTGCCATAGATTACGAGGCTTGACTAAATGCTCATGGACTCAGAATTGAAATTCTAAGGTTCCAGTGACTGTATAAGTGCTCGACTCCCTGGGCCAGAGTTAGCTAGCTCCTTGTGACATCAGAGCACCTAAGCCAGTGACATTCAGAAGGGACTCTGCTACCAAAGAGGTTATTGTGACATCAAGAAACTGCATCAGGAAAGGTGGGCAAGCAGAAATGACAGAGGTAGAGGAAGAAAATACAAAAGGAGGGATGGGGACAAGTTAATGCCAGTCAGGAGGGAGACCTTGGGTGTTTCCAGACAGGAGCTCTCTATTGCAAATTGGTCATACAGATCCAGTTTGTGTCTGTGTGCGACTGACACATTAATTTCCCCAGATTAAGGGTCGTCGTCCCCAAGCCATGGATGTTCATTGCTATTCCATTGCTTGCCATCCACACCAGTGGGCAGAGCTCAGTGGGAAGTATTTAAGCTGTGTTGTTTAGCTCCTCCCCTAAGTCACACCTCTCCTGCCCTGCACAAAGTTCTTTTTTCCACTCTTGGCATGCATTAGTAATTCCGTATCTGTGCATGTGTGCTTTTAAAAAAATCACTGGAAGTGCACAAGACTTAGCTGTCATGTTTCATAGTAGGCAAAATGGATGCTTGTATTTTGGAACAATATCCATGTCAATGTGCCTTTTAATTTTAATTTAATATTGAGGTCAAAAAACTGCAGCAGCAATGCAGTACCAAAATTATATTAAAGAAGTCTTCTGCAAGACCACCATAATAAAATGTAAAAAAAAAAAAAAAAAGTCTTATATGCATATTGCAATTACAATCTCTGGGATAATTCCCCGCATTTGCTGTGTGGAATTCTTGAGAGAATAGCTCCTCTGAACTGGGTTGTTAGAATTCAGATGTGCCTTCAGCATGCAGCATCAATGGAAAGCTTCAAGTTATTATTAATTTATTATTTATACCCCGCTCATCTGGCTGGGTTTCCCCAGTTGTCACAAAGTGGAAGAGGCAGAATTTTAGGCTGGTTGGAGAGGATCATTGGATCTGTTATGTTGAGCAGAATACATACTGAGAGAGAGAAAAGCCGTATATGTTGAGGGCTTTATTTTTCTTCCACTAAAAAGGGAATATTGGAAGCAATAGCTTTAGCCATCATTATACAAGGAGTGCATTTTGGTGCATTTTAGTGCAAATGGCATTTCATTCGGTAAAAGTAAGTATTTCATCTGGTCTTTGGTTCATGGGATTTCATTACGAAAAAGCCTCTGAGAACCGGCCCCTGATTTCTCATTCAAAATACAGTATAATGACATCTCTTTTTTACCAATAAAAAGGTCCGTTTATATACTATTTAAGGGACGCGGGTGGCGCTGTGGGTAAAAGCCTCAGCGCCTAGGGCTTGCCAATCGCAAGGTCGGCGGTTCGAATCCCCGTGGCGGGGTGCGCTCCCGTTGCTCAGTCCCAGAGCCTGCCAACCTAGCAGTTCGAAAGCATCCCCGGGTGCAAGTAGATAAATAGGGACTGCTTACTAGCGGGAAGGTAAACGGCGTTTCCGTGTGCGGCTCTGGCTCGCCAGAGCAGCGATGTCACGCTGGCCACGTGACCCGGAAGTGTCTCCGGACAGCGCTGGCCCCCGGCCTCTTAAGTGAGATGGGCGCACAACCCTAGAGTCTGTCAAGACTGGCCCGTATGGGCAGGGGTACCTTTACCTTTATATACTATTTATATATAATTATTTCCATATTTTGTTTTTAACATGTTTCCCCTCCCAATTTTCTTCTTCTAGAAATCAGAATTTAAGGAAGGAGTTCTTCGCAGGACAATGGCACTGGTGTCCAACAACACAGCGTTAAACTACCTCCTTTCAAAACTGCTAGAAGACTATGAAAGCAAACCCAGCCACCCGACAGCTGCACCAGTCGTTGCAACAAATGACCATCTGGAAGTCATCTACATACTCCTATTGCTTGGCTTCTTTGGCTTCTTCACATTCGGAATAATGATGAGCTACATCCGCTCCAAAAAGCTTGAACATTCAAATGACCCGTACAATGTGTACATTGCCACAGACATTTGGCGGAAGAGGGACAAGGCCAGCTTGAAAGCCAAGGTGATGGAAAATTATAAATCAAGCTTTGTCTTGGAAAACCAGCATGCTGTAGAACAGCCCACCAGTCACATTCCTGAAGTGAACCCTTCCTAGCAAATGGGCAGCTAATCTTACAGGCATCATACTGAATTTTCCAAAACTGTGAAAGTAAGCAGTTTGTGGCCTATATTTACCCTTTTTAAGAAGAAATGTACACCCCCTGCCTCTTCAGGGCTGGATTTAGGTTTGATAAGGCCCTAAGCTACTGAAGGTAATGGGCCCTTTGTATCTCCAGCTGTCCTTTGTAAATAACAAATTGTCACTGTTTTTTGTGTTGAATATATGCTATATGGTAATTTATGGACCTAATAGCTATCTAAAGCCATTTGCACATAACAAACATCATAGGAGCCTACACAACACAAAACACTGTTGCTGTATGTAGGTTTTATTTTATTTGTTTTTTATCTTATATTTTGGAAATGTACATCCAGTTTTCTTCCCTCTAAATTTTTTTGGGGCCCCCAAGAGAGTAGGGCCCTAAGCTATAGCTTGTTTAGCTTATATGTAAATCCGGACGGCCTCTGTTCAACCCCCTTAGAATAATGAGAAAAGTGCATCTGCAGCATTTAGAAATCCAGTGCATTTTGGAAGACTATTCTGTACTGGCAGGTGCTGCTTCCAGCTTGGGAATCAAGCTGCTGAAGGAGATATATGCTGACTATGATCTACTTCCACCATAAGCAAGGAATTCCACAAGGAATTTGGGCAAAAAAGAAGAAGTAAATTAAGCCTCATTCCACAAACATATTCTTAACACCAACAGGAAAATTTAACTACAGACCAGAAATGTTGTTTTGATTTCACATGGGGTTAGGTATTTCCTTCCAACCTAGTGTAAACAAGTTACTGGTCCTTATGGGATGGAAGATGACAAGTCAGTTTAATGCAATGCTAGCCACATTATTTCCTTGTGTGCTGCAACAAGACACCTCAAACTGGCTGGCTTTTAGCCACTTCATACTGATGACTTGGGGAAGGTGTTTACTGTGGTGTAGCGATTAGAAATAGCTGCGAGTGACTGTGCAACTTCAAAGAAGGCAGCCGGGTTTTGGGGGAGGGGGGGTGGACACAAAGATACACTGCTAATGCTAGGATGATTCTGGATAAAATGCATCAATAGGTGGAACCCTAGAGCAAATGAACCTAGGTACAAGTATTCTGGAAGCCAATGGCTGGACAGAGCATTTCTTTTCCATTCTTGAAGCTCTTCTGTTTCCTTGCTTTTGTTTTGAAAGCTCTTTACCATAAAGACATGTCTCTCTACATTTAATCGTTGCTTCTTGAAACTGAATTTCCCCCTGCTAACTTCTTTAGTATTGGTACTCCCCTCTGTTAATTCTATCTGCATATGTGTGACATATGTTTAATTTTTGTACTTTCTTTTCATTCCTTCAAAGAAACCATTCTGCATCCTAGTTCTAAAGTTGTGTCTCTCAAAATGCAATGTATTTTAGAACCTAGACATTATTGTGTTAAATCAGCTAGATAAATTACATAATTCACATCCATTCAAATCAGTGAGAAACTTGCTGTGAAAATCCATAGAATGCAAATTGCAGAAAAAAGACCTATTACAGATCAGTAGTTTTTTTCTCCAAATATACAATGCCGATTCCCATTATTAATTTACACAGCTGCTCTTCTCAAATAATGTGTTTTCTCTTCAGTATTAATTATTTCCATTGAATGTGCCTGTAATTTCTGGTTATTATATAACTTTTGTATTATTTTAAACCAACGATTTCCTTTATTTTTAAAAAGGAAGATTGTACCTACAATTCCTCTATAGAGGAACACCTCATTGTGGGAAGGGGCGGTTAATGTTGTGGTATGAGGCTATATTATTAGGGTTGCAAGTGACCTGAAAAAATGGCCTAGACTGTTGTGCTTTTTGCCAGAATATGATTTGCAGAAACCAATCGGTAAACCTTACCTGATATGGAGGTAAATATGATCACCTTCCAATGACTACAGATTAAAAATGCTATAAAAGGCACAACTGCTAAAAATGGCACCTCTGTTTGCCATAAGTTTAGAGTGTTTTCCATGCAACTGTAATTCTTCTTTATTATTGTGTAAATTTTCTTTATAATTTAATAAAGTGTTAATAACAAATATGTATCACATTTCTATCTTGATTAATATTCCACATCATGGCAAAGCCATTCTGATTATCTAAAACTAAAGATTTTAGTGAACAAAATGCCTAGTTTTTGTTTTGTTATAAATCTATGGTTTAATGCTTGTCCATTCAAAACATATTGTTTGTGCAATTAGTTTGCCAAAGAAATAGTATGCTTTTAGGTATTTGCTCCTTACTTGTACGTGGCACGTAATGCAGCCAGTGTGGGGAAGGCTGGGATAAGAGGCCTTTTCTTTTACAAAAAATCAGTTTAAAATTATCAACATTGATCATACTTTGAGTTTGTTCAGGCCAAGTATACATTATACAGGAAATGGAATAAAGAGATAAAGAGAGATAGGGGCAAGCCAAGCCAATCAGAGTGCTCTTGGTTCCCCATAATTACCTTTGCAATAATCTTACACTTTTTTCAAAGGCATCCAAAATGATTTTGGCATGTTTTGCTATTCATTACAGAATTGCTCACTAATCTTGTGTAGTAGAAGCCGTCCATTCTGCTTAACTATAGTGAAAAACTCACCAAGCAATGGTTCATCATTGATTCCCAATAGAAGCATTTTTTGGGGGGATGGGGGGTTAAATTTGAATTTTACTGCACTTTTACAGGAAATAAAATATATATATCTAGGTACCAAAAGAGTAATTTACAATCAAACTCACAATGTGGTGTAACAGCTAGATGAATGGGTTTCAGGTAATTCAGATCCTGCTCAATTTTGAAGCATAGCCTTATGGAAGTTATTGAACATGGGATACAAGCCTGAAGTGTATTGTAATGCAATGAGCTTTATGCTTTTGATGCAGAGTGTTTCCTGGCCACAAAACTCACCCTGCAAACATTTGCAGCTCAAAGTATTAGCAATGACATTAGCATTACTAACCTCAAAGTTTCATTTCTTACACATAAACTTGGTTTTAAAAACATGAGTCATTATCATACCCGGACTATTTTGTTCATTGCAATGCTATGATAAGAGCTCTGTTTATCTCTCCAAGCAGCCGGCCACAGACAGTGAATGACAGCAGAAAAAAGTAAACATAGAAAGAGTGTAAAGTGTTGGTTGACACTGAATGTATTTATAGTAGTGTTGACATGCCCAGAGTGTAACGAAAATGACTTTTGTGTCTAGCAGTGTAGAATTCTCTGCATGCAAACACATCTCTTCAGGTCTGCAATGCAAGGAATGGGTTTTAGTTTTGCAGGAGCACCACCTGGTGGTTACATGATGGACTAAGGGCTTCATATGACATCATCATAATCAACAAAATGTCTTAAGGCATTGCTGTTGGCAACAGGATGTGAGGCATAGGATGTGGACCACACTGCTTCTTGGTATTGGAGTCATAATGAAAACATGCTAACCCCTTCCTATATCACACCTGAGTTTTCATTATAGGCTGGGTGCACACTGTGCCTTGGTAAATGATGCAAAATGTTTTTAAAGATAAAATGCCCAAATATGTTTCCGTAATACTGTATTCTCCAAAATGCTTTTTGAGAGAAAATGCAAGGCATAGCTAAATCAAACTTGTAATAGCACGACCGCAGACGGTATTTAACAATAAGAAGATGCTAATAAGAAAATGCTAATAAAGTTTTCATTTCACTTCTTCAGCATCTCCCAATACAGTGTACATAAACACACATGGACAGACACACAAACAATCTTTATTTTACAAGATGTCATATATCAAAATTAGTTGCAGGGGACCTCCCAACATTTCAGAGGTTTGCTTTCAGATTCTAGGAAAGAAGCCTGTGGAGGATGGATATAAACCTTAACATGTCCTCTAACATTGGTAGACACAGGGAGAAAGCTAGAAAGAGAATTTGCATTTTAATGGATGAAACTGATCCTATACACACTTTTTGAAAGTAGGAGTCTTTTACCCCAATGGCTGGTATTCAACTGCAATATACACTAAAGCAGTATCATGCCATTTTAAATAGCCATGGCTTCCCCCAAAGCATCTTAGGGACCACAGTTTGAAGTGGTATGATACTGCTTTGATTGCACAGTGCAGATGCAGCTTAAGTTTTACTCAAAGCAGACCTATTGCAATGAACAGAACTAACTTAGTTATGTTTCATAATTTCATTGTGTCTTCCCTGAATAAAACTTTGGCGAGTGGGACTTACCCCCAAGTAGAAATGCATAGGATTGCACTTCAAATTTTGGCTGTAAATGTTCCCATCAGCCTCAGCCAGCATGGCCAAAGGTCAGGGATGATGGGAGTTGTAGCCTAGTGACCCCTGGAGAGTCAACATTTCCCCACCTCCAAAATAAAACATAGGTGGAGGTATTCCTAGTACTACTATGACACATTTCCAGCGAATGATACTTTGTTCTCCAAGATGCATCTATCCTTAGTTCCAATAGCAGCCGGTGAGGTGGTGTAGGTGGGGCTTACCAAGAGGGAGATGGCAGAGGCGAAACATGGGGTGGCACATCATGGCGGCAGCAGGGCCTTGCAGAGCCAGGCAGAGGCCTGGGCCAGGTAGATAATGTGCCCCCCCTTTTTTTACCCTGGGAATAACTGAAGTCTTATAAATAAGTAAGTATATAAATCATTTTCACAAAAGTTATGCTGACAAATAATTTTATTTCAAGGCTTGAACCATATCTGCATATAAAGACAAAATGGAAAATATAGATATACAATAGTGCTTTTTAAAAATACATAGGGAAAAGGATTATTTTAAGTATTTACATTTAAAAATGCTTTCCTAGCTTTCTTTTCTGCGAATTCTTGAATTACGCTGGAAAAATCAAGCAACTTTGCCTTATCGTGGTTTATGTTTATGTTTATCATTGCTAGACCATTTAGGCGTTCTTGAGCCATTGTTGATCGAAAGAAAGACTGCCAGACATGGCCCCAGGGAATCTGCCCACCGCCGCCACCGCCTTTGCGCCTCCGCGTTCGCCCCAGTGCATCCCCTGCGATTGTGAATATGCTGACCGAGGCTCCCTTTGGAATCGGAGGCCCAGGCCAAGTGGCCCATATGGCCCCCCCCCTCTGTCTGGGCCTGGGCAGCAGCATCCCATTGGCTCCACTGCCACGTGTCACACCTTGCTGAGCTCCCTGCACCTCC